CCAATATTGTCTTTAAGAGAAATGATCTCCCCATAAATATAACAACTCCCTGAAGAATTTTCCTTGAAGGAATATATGGTTAGAAGTCTGAATGCACCAAAATAAGTGAATTCCTTGAAAAGAATAAAGACCCATATAATACCCAAGAGATAAGAATAAAAAGAGGAACCAGAAGGAATGAGCACATGCGCATTTCATGAGCTTTTACTATGAGTGAATATATACTTGTGATATAATGTGTTCTCCACCTGAAGTTTTGGAATAATTGAAGTATCCTCTAGAAACCGATATGATATATTTTGGTGTTACTAACAATACTTTCCCCCATTACGCTAGAAATACAGACTTGTGATGTCTTACTGTGTATTAAAGATAAAGATTCTCGAAGAGTCTGGAATCAATCCTAGAAGGAGTCACCACTATTATAAATAGAGAAAATTATAATGATTGATCACATCTCGAAGATATGTGTCATTGCAACTTTAGAGTGAACAAATATGCATCTCGATGTATGCATGCTATAATATAATAAATTCCGCTCAGCATTATTCTCTATTCTCAATGTTCTTGAAGAACAACGAGACAAACGTCATGATGACTAAATGTTGTGAAAATCTTGTAATCTCACTTGCACTATCCCTGCCTATGTTTATTTCCAATTAATGGTTAATGCCATGAGAATGATTGAATTCACCAAATGTTATCATCAGGGGGGTATTTACAAGATATTAATCGTCATTCACGAGACTCTGAAAGTCTCAAACAATGCCTAGAAGGTGTTATTCTAATGGTGACTTCCTAACCTCTATTGAAGGCTCTATCATGACACCATTTATGAAAATGGGTTTATTGTTTATGTACACTTTATATTTTTACCTCACGAGTTCAGAAGTAAGATGAGATTAAGATTATGAAATGTATGCGATATACTTGTTAAGTCTCTATGTGCATACGCTTCCTGTAGAAAGCATTCTTGGTATTGCAGGATAGTTCTACAAGGTTCAAGGGAAGAACTTCCCTAAAATATTAAACATTGATCAGAATTATAGAGAATTCATAATGATATGACCTAGAAGGTCAGAATTTGTCCCGAAGACATATGTTGATGAGTTTTTCTGAAGTTTCTCATGTAAGGTTTTTAATGAGGCAACAATGTGCAAATGCATTAAGTGACAATAATGTACTCTTTCTCTATATTTTTCCCATTGGGTTTTTTGGAGTTTTAGTGAGGTATGTATTTGTCATGGTATTCACCCAAGGGGGAGTGTTAAGAATTCCTCAATTAGAGGATTAATGGGCTCATACCATATACGCCATGATGGGCTCCTACCATATATGCCCTAAAGGCATATCTATATAAAGGGACTACATGTACATCTATATGGACTAATGAAGAGATGCTCCCCTCATATACCTGTGTCTCCCATGTGTTCTTGTATGTTGTTCTTGAGGATGGGATAGGGAGACGGAATCTATCTACAACTTCTACGCGCCTCCTATTTGGGATCAGGAATGGGAAAGCGGATCCAGTAATCCGTGAATAGGTCAATTCTTAACAGTACACACCACAAATGCATACACCTTTTAGTCCTGTTTAGCAAGGCTTACAAGCGGCTTCAGCGCGTTCTGGCTCCTGCTGAAACCTTGCATGTACGAGAAATTACTCTTTGCAAGAGCCCAAGAGAAGTCGAGATCATTCTTTCTAATGAGGACTGTTGACGGTCACTAACATCAATTATAAACCATCAACATAACCTGCATTTATATTTAATTCCATCACCAAACATAGGTATAGGGGTTTAAACTAACGAATTCCACGAGCTTTGGTAAATATTTGTATGTAGGAGGATTTATCCAGAAAATAGCTCCTAGGACCACTGTCATACACTTCAAACAAGCAAACCGACGACAACAAGTGATTCAACCCGCGAAAACTATGAAAGACAACTCTAGAAGGTTCAAGAAGATACCACGCCAAAGCTTGGGCCAAACAGCCACAAAAGTGGGCTGGCCAGCCCAGCCCATAGGGCGGCCGGCCTGTCACGGAGCCCACTCGCCCTCCGCCGCCTCATACTCCTTCCTACGATCTACACCATTGATTTTAAGGCAATTTTAGGTCAGTTTATCCAACGGTAGTCGAGGGAGTTGACGCGAATCAATGATGTGGCGATTTCTTGCCCCCTACTCCACCTCGATTCCTTGCCCCCAACTCCACCTCGACCTATATATAGCAGCCCCTACCCCCTCCCTAGGGGTGATCCTGAAACCCTAATTCATATCCTCCTCGTCAGGATCAGAGCCAGCTCTCAAGATGTAGAAGTAGAATAGCTCTAGTCGAGAGTTAGGGAGAGTTGAGCCATGCTTGAGTTCTGGAGAAATCTTCGGAGGTCGGGTATATCTTTGTATCTTACTTTTGCAAGACTTATGCTTTAATATAGTTATCTTCTCTATTCACTTTTATTCCTTTCATGTGTATGGTTAGTATAGTTATCATACATTAGCATGAGATCTCCGCTCGCATCGAGTGCTCTAGTTATTATATGTGATTAGAGTAGTAATTAGTAGTCTAGACGTGGTGTCTAAACTATGAGTTACCTAAGATTGCACCTAACCCCGCGGATAGTTGTGGTAGCCCTAGGTGGTGATAGCCCTGATGGCCGATGTAGTCCACCACGTTTGGGTTGGTGTTTATAGGACCATAGTCGGAGCTTTCTAGTCCCTTTCTCGTCCCTTTCTGTGGCTAGTGTTCCGATGTCCCAAAGTGCTATTGTGTGTGATCGCTATATCTACCCATGCTTTAGTTATACCCTCTAGTCTAAACTAGAATAGAACTAAAGTAATAGATAAGTATTTAGGAACCTTAAACTCAACCATTGTCCTCTCAATTTAGTTAGACTGCTCATTTATAGATTTCTCTTATGTGTGTTATTATTCATAACTCTTATCATAAACAACACTTACCCCCACTTTAGTTTAGTTAGTATACTAGTTAGTAGATACATGATAGTGAACTATCAACTTCTTTAACCATTGTTTCCCTGTGGATAAATACGATACTCTAGAATACTCTCGGGTGAAGGCTACAACGGTATCCGTGCGCTTGCGGATTTATCTGTGTGCATTTAAAAATACCAACAAGGGCTCGGAGAGATAAATACAGGGCTTCACTCAGGTCCTCACAAACTTGACAAAAAAAATATAATAACATTGTCATTGGATCTGTTTCTGCCAAACATTTCTTTAGATAGTTTCATCTCCACCAGAGAAACTGCTCCATAAGCAAAGGCAAAGCCAAAGTCCTTTTAGGAGGAGCCGGAGACGTGCCAATATGATCCTAAGTGTCTGAGATGGGCGCTATAACAGATGGATGGCTTATATGGGGTAGGGACAACCATATATACACCAGACATGTGGCACAATTTGGTTACAAGGGAAAGGTTGGTGATTAATTAGTTTGAATATTAAACTCCAAATGCACTTTTCTCTTAAATCATGGGTCTTCTGGTTATATTAGAATCACCATGTTGTTTATACATATAAATATCTCAACATTTTGCATATAAAAATGTTGATGCACATATAAATGCACATATTGTTGACGATTTGTTAAATTAAGATTCACAAATTGTTGAATCAAGCTTAGATAAATGTTGACTTAGGATTCACAAATTGTTGAATCAAGCTTAGAAAAATGTTAAGAAACATATAAATAAAAAAATCATAATCCAATATAGATAATTAGTTATAGAATATTGCTGTGAACTATCCATAGGAGGTCCTTTGTGATAGTATGGGCCTTGGATACTCCCACTACAAGGGAAAATGCCTCGGATACCCTGGCCTATATGTGATATGTTGATCCCTAGTCGGACAACAGATCCTACGGCAGTCCTGTTCAAGAGTAGTCCAGAAAGAGTTTGTGTTCTCTAACTCAATTGAATAATGAACGAAAATGATTATAACTCTTTGAATAATTAAACATATTATGGAAATCAATTATACAAGGAGTTTGCATTCTCTAACTCAGTTTTCGTTTCTGCATTTACTTTGCATTTCTTGATGTCTGCTTATCTTTCCTAGTCTAGCTTGCTAGGTTAGTTAGTAGGATTGAAACCTGGGTGCAAACTTGTTTTGCATTATACATAGCAACACTAATTAGAAAAACTTAGTGCACATTTAGACAGAATTTATATAGATTTTTCATATGTGGTTCTTGGACCTTAGTTTTTAAGTGACATAATGAACCCCTTCACTCGTTCAAAGCACGAAAATAGAGTAAAGGTATGGGTCCCCCACCTTACCATCCACCAATTGCTAAAGAATTTTATTGGATTTGAGACAATCACGAGATGGGCCGTTCTAAAATTGAACAGCCGGAATTGTGGCATTTGGATCTGTCTTATTGACAGGCTTTGAATGAGAAATTAATAAAGATACATTTCTTGTCTTAGGCGTCACGATCCCTTTAGGATATATAAACACAACTTGGTTTTTATTATTACAATGTCTTAGATAAATATTGAATAATGAACAAAAAAACGACTACAATCTTTTAAATCATAATAGCATATTATAGGAAACAAATATACAGTCAAAGACTGAGTTTGACACTCGCACTGCACTCTATAAAAATGAATAAAAGGGAGTATCCATTTAGAATAAACTTTTATAACTAAACTCAAACAAAACACATATACACCCACGACGGGAAGTACATATATATTAACCTAAATACTCAATTCGTTCCAAATTATAAGACGTTTTAACTTTTCTAGATTCATAGCTTTTGCTATGCACCTAAATATATATTATGTCTGCATACCTAACAAATGCTATGAATCTAGAAATGTCAAAACGTCTTATAATTTGGGACAGATGAAGTAATTAACCAAAAAGCTAACATTAGTAATCATATATATGATCTGTATCGATGGCTCAATATTGCCATACACCGTACCATATCCATATATTATTAGAAACTTACGGGCAATAATCTTTTGTCACCCATGGAGGCTCTTGAAGATGAGAGGCATCCCACATTTGGGAGTCAAGGAGACGACATACTTGGGCTTGTGAACGTACGTCGGGGAGAGGGAGAAGGTGAACTTCCTGAGGATGACCGCCATGACGATCTGTGCTTCGATGATGCCGAAGCTCTTGCCAGTGCAGGCTCTCGGGCCAAGCGAGAAAGACAGCAGCGCGTGTGGGTCCATGGCGGCTCTGGCGACGCCATTGCTGAACCTCAAGGGGTTGAACTCGTCGGCGTCGGAGCCCCACACCTCCCTGTCCCGCTGCAGTAGGCCGATGGGGATCGATATCACGGTGCCCCCGGGCACCTCGATGCCCCTGAGCACGGCGTCTGAGGCGGTCGTCCGTTGTATGTACACGATCGGCGGGTAGAGCCTCAGCGTCTCCAGCAGAACTATGTGAAGCTGCACACACGCACGCACGCACGTCGATCATCTTGTAGAAGTGAATGCATGCTTTTATTTGTCATCTTGAGAGTGGCCGGAGAGCTGCGTGCACGTACGTACGTACCAACTTGAGTCTGGAGAGGGTGTCGGAGTTGGGAACGTCGCCGTCGCCGCCGGGGAACTCGCGGAGGACCTCCTCCCTGACCTTGTCCTGCCACTGCGGGTGCGTGCTGAGCAGGAACACGGTCCACACGAGGAGGGTGGCGGTGGTCTCCTGCCCGGCGCCGAAGAAGGTCTTGCACTCGTCGATCACCTCCCCGGTGGTCAGCGTCGTCGTCGTCCCTTCGTCGTCGTCGCTCCCAGCTTGCCGCTCCGGCTCCGGCGACCACGCCTCCAGCAGGAGCCCGAGCAGGTCGTCGCCGTAGCCACCGCCGCAATTGGCGGCGGCCACCCGCGCCGCCATCATCGCCGTGATCTTGCTCCTCAACAGCTTGTCCAGACGTCGCACCGTTAGGTTGCGCCGAGTCGGCAGATGCCTAGAAAAGAGGGGGGAAATTATTGGAGCAACCAAACTTGCATTGTTTGTCGTCAAATGCCATGAGCTTGCATTGTTATTATTACTTATTACCAGAGTATGGGGCCATCCAACATGGCCGCGGCGCCCATCTTCTGCATCTCGTGCATCAGGACGAGGACCTCGCTGGCTTCCTGGTGGCTGGTGCCGAAAGCGGCGCGGCCGATGATTTCTGCGGTCAGGTCGCAGATGGCGCGGTCCACTTGTATCTCCGCTGCTTGACGAGCACCGCTGTGCAGTATTTTCTCACACCATCGCCGCGCCATCTGTTCCGTAGCTTCTGCCGTCACTGCCGACATGCTCTGAACTCGATCGATCCAGCAGGTAAATCGTGTATATAACCATGCAATGCAACAGCACCAAAGTCAGTTGCTAAATTAGATCGATCTGCCTATATATACTATGTATGCAAATATATACACATGGTGCATTGTGCGTATATAATCTTGTGATGATGCATGAGCATGACGACCTTGATCCTGTCGTGGTTGAAGGCTGGAAGGACAACTTTCCTGTGCCGTTTCCAGTCGTCGCCGTTTGCTAGTATGAGCCCGTTGCCCAGCAGGACTTTGAAGACGGGGATCATGAAGTCCTTGGCAAACAGGCCCGACCTGTCTGTAAGCACTTCCTTAATCAGCTCTAAATCAACTGAGAAGATCGCAGGGGTTGGCCCGATCCAGTACAGGAATGTCCTCCCTGAAAGATCAAATTAAAGAAATAATCTCATGTGGACCTTGTTTGTTCAAACTTCAAAGCATGCATGCATGTGCGTTCGTAGCAGATACATGTAAGTTAACAACAACGTACGTAATGCTAATTCTGCTCTGCCGTATCGCCTAAGATATCTGTAAATATAGAGTTTTACTAGGCCCAACTGCCCAAGTTCTGGTTGATGAGATGCATGGCCCTGGTCCTGCAGTGCCTGTTGCTTGCCTGGCCCATACGGTTTCTGGTGGGCTTTCTCAGGATTGCTGCTGGGCCGGTGATGGAAATATATTGGGCCCGAGAATGTCTGCACTCTACAGAATGCTGGGCCGAGCTCAAAAAAAAAAGATGCTGGGCCGAGTAGTGACAGTGGTTTGGGTAGTGTGGTTCAGAGCCAGCTCTCTGCTTGGTTGAAGACTTTCATCTCAGCTACTAGTTGTTCACCTCTTGTCGTCCTGTAGCCGCTCGATCGTTACGTCACGGGTCCTCGCCATTGAAACACAGAGCTGAGCTTATGAAGAAACTAGGGGTCGTCACAAATGACGAGGATGCGGAGGCCTTTGCAAGTATATGCACGCATTTCCCTTTGCCGTTCTTATCATATATCAAAGTGCGCGGCCATCCCTTTGGACGAATATATATAGGTGTTGTAACTCTCTTTCTCCTAATAAAATATACACATTCACACACACACAAAAAAAAAACATGTCTCTCATTCTCTTTCCTAGACTTCATGACAATGGTCAACCGAAATATTGCTTTGATAAAGCAGTCATTGAACAATTAATGAAACTATACCATTAGCATGAGTTATTGCCATGGGAAACTATTGTTGCATGTGGAGACCTTTTTTAGCTAGGCATATATGGCCATATGGGCAAAGAATATTAAACATAATTTGTACTTAGTGTTAGCATGGTTTTGTCAGCCTAGGAATGTTCGTGTGTAGTAGTAGGTCATGACGACTGCGCACATCTCCTAACTAATGTATAGAGGCCAGAATACGTTTTACTGCTCGTTATCAAAAGTAACTCACAGACTATCAAAAATATATACGGAGGAGTGTTAGGGTTTACCATACTCGACGACCCATCTGTGAGGCTTTTACCTGTGTACCCTTAAAAAAGATGCCACACTCCTGCGTACCCCTCAAAAGTTGGTCGTCACCTACATGCCCTCGCTCGAACTTTTCTTTTCCCTCACGCCATTCCGTCGGCATTCTGTTAGGTTTTGGCCGTTTGGCGGCTCTGACATGTGAGACCGGGCTAGAAAAATACCCTCCTTGCCCTCTGGGTCACTGACATATTGGGCCGCATCTCCTTCAGTCTCACCCGAGCCTCTCTCTCAGTCTCTCCCCAATCTCGTTCCTCACTCTCTCACCCGAGCGCGGGAGGACGTGGCGGCGAACCCTAGCGGCGACGGATCTGGAGACGGCGGCAGTCGGTGTTGGCGGCCCGCCCTCGAAATCCTAGCCCCATGGAGCAAGACGGTCGGGCGGAGCAGGCATGCCGTGGAACGGACCCGGCGAGAGGCCGGATTGGTTCCGGGAAGAGTGAGTACCGCTCCTCCTCCCTCCTTGACTTCGCCCCTCCTTGTATTGATGTTGATTGCATTAGTGTATTGCGCTACCGAATCGTGTTTAGGGTTTATTGATTACGTGCTCCTTGTTCATCTGTGGGATGGACCCAAACAGTAGTTACAACCTAGAAATGCGGATTGTTGGTCCCAATTGTCGTGCAAAGTGGATCAACTTTATGGGCCTTGGGGCAAGTGTTTCCACAATTTGTTTAGTTTTAAGGCCCAGTTAGAACAATCTAGTCCTGGTTCAGTTCTTGTCATTGATCATCACACCATCAATAATAAGGTCAGGTTTAACAGGCTATTTTTTGCTCTGAAAGCATGTGTTGATGGATTTCTTAGAGGATGTAGACCATATCTTGCAGTAGATAGTACCTTTTTGACAGGAAGATTTAGGGGACAGTTGTGTGTTGCATGTGCGGTAGATGCCCACAACTGGATGTATCCAGTTGCTATTGGTGTTATTGACTCTGAAACCAATGAAAATTGAATCTGGTTCATGAAGAGATTGAAGGAGGCAATAGGCACTCTAGAAGGCATGACATTCCATACAGACTGTGGGCAGGCAGTAATGAATGGAGTTAGTCAAGTTTTTCCAACAACTAAACATAGAGAATGTATGTATCACTTAGTACATAATTTCAAGAAGAGGTATAGTGGTAGAGTGTTTGATGATCACTTATGGGCTTCCTCATATTCATGGAGCCCATACATGTTTAAGAAGCATTATGAAGCAATGGCTGCAGCCAAACCAGAAGCAATGAAGTACTTGCAAGAGAATCACAAGAAGCTTTGGACCAGGAGTCAGTACACCACACTGTCAAAGGTTGACTATGTGACAAACAATTTGGCTGAGTCCTTCAACAACTGGGTCAAACCTGAAAAGTGTAAGCACCTGGATGACTTGCTGGACACTATAAGGCAGATGCTTTTGATCAAGTGGAACCATAGGAAGAGGGTAGCTGCTAAGCTCAATGGCAAAATTATGCCCCATATCATGCAGAGGCTTAGGGAAGACACTTACAACTTGGACATAGATGTCATCACAGCCTCACCTGAAGGTGTGGCAGAGCTGTGTGCTAAAGGTCTATAAGGAACTGGGTTCAGGTTTGTGGTCAACCTAGCAGACAGGACCTGTTCTTGTAGGGTTTGGCAGGGGTCAGGAATCCCATGCAAGCATGCCATTGCATACATTACCTCAATTCCTAGCGCAAAGCTTGAAGACTATGTGGATGAGTACTTCTCTGTCAACAATTTTAGAGTTGCATATGACGGCTCCATCCCTAGCATACCTGACAAGAGCATGTGGCCAGAGGCAGAACCAGGCTTTTTCTTGAACCCTCCTCTTCTTAAGTCCATAGGTGGAGGTAGGAGAAAGAATAGGATGAAATCTGCACTTGAGGGAGGCAGCAGCCAGAGGAAGTCAAAGAAACATGAATGCCCCATCTGTCATTAGTTGGGCCATCACTGGTACACTTGTAAGAATGGGAACCCAGAAGACATAGCTGCAATGGAGGCAGCAAGGTAATCTGTTGTCCTATGCATATAGCTACCTTTGCATGTACATAGCTTTGCATACACGAAGCTAATCTATTTTCCTTTGTAGGGCACACCAAAAAGAAGAGGTTGAAGAAGAAGGCTGTAGCAAGCAACACGAGAGAGGAGTCTTGTGGTGGCCCAACCATCCGAGATGCGATTCCCATTCAATGAGGTAGTGGCAAATGCCATCCATAACAAAAAGGAAGAGGAAGTCATCCTCGTCTTCAACCTCCTCACAGAAACACAAGGGTATAGCACCAGCCACCACTAGTTCAACCTCAGCTCCTACTAGTGTGTCTACAAGGTACCTGTTCTTTGCCTCATCCTTTTCATTTCAACCGGTGGAAATCTAATGCATCTTGTTGATTGTCAGTCCGGAGGCTGGTTCAAATGATCCAGTCCCACTCTTATCTGTGCATCTGGTTCCTTTCAATGAGGACTCCATTACTGGTGGACACCCAGTGACCCCACCCGTACCAGCTTGATGACCTCCCACTTGAGCCTGTGGATCCACAATGCACACCAAGAAGAAATAAGGGAGCAGTGAAGAAGAAGTTGACACCAAAGAAGCTACAGTAAGAAACTCTTGTGATGTTCTATTACTGCTGTGATGTTGTTTTTTTGGCCCTGACACATGATCTTTTGGTACTTTGATGTTCTTTTGGGGCTGTCATGAAAAACCTTGTCTGAATTGATGGTTCATGTTAGTGATGTGAACAAACTCTAGTAATTTAGTTTCTATGTGTAAACTATAAGTGACGTGATCAAACACCATATGCTGTTGGTGATGAAACACATTATGCTACCAGTTATGTGATGGATGAGTGAACTGTTAGTTTCTTTGTCTTAATGTTGTTATGAACCATGAGAAGGATTCATTCATTCATCTATTCATTCATGCATTGATTGATCCATACATCCATGAAAACTCACACACACACACACAACAGCAGCCTACTTGAAAATAGCATACAAAGCAAGCACCAAGCACAAATACACAAGTTTTTCAATCCTCCTAAGCTGCTGCTGCACCCTCTTGTCCATTGGTGCATGGCCTTCAACTACAGCTGCCTAGGAACCTTCCTGCAAGATGGCCAGAGGAGGAGCTGTGGGAAAACCACCAGGTGCTGCCACTGCCTATAGTGGAACTGCTTGGATTAGTGTAGCTGTCTCCCCCATCTCATCCTCCCACTGATAGTACTGACATCCTCCAATCTGAAATCCAACATAGAGACTGAGCTAAGAGGGAAAGACAAACAATGTTGACCAAAGAGAGAAGCACAAACCGCGAAATAAGGGCACTTGTGAAAGGCCCGGTTGGGGTTGGCCCTGGTCGTCGAGATGAAGCGATTGGTGAGCACATTGCAGTTCGGGCAAAGCACACACCGCCTTGGCGCACCACCATAGCTGCTGCTACCTTGTGACATGGCTGTCAAAGAGAGAGGGCTCAAGAGAGTGGCAACTCCCTGGCCTTTGG